AAAGAAACATAAAAAACTGAGTCGTTTTTAAACTTACAATGAAGAGTAATAATTCCAAAGACATTAGTGGGATGGGAACACACATAACGGCTATTTCCTAAAAGGACCAAGACTGAGCCACCAATTATAGGAACACAATGGCTGCTATACCTACATGGTACACAAACTTTTCTAGTGTTGAGATCAAGTATAGCCAAACTAGTGATGATAAAGTAAAGCATGTCTAATATAGAGGTGGAAAAGAGTCGAGTCAAGTTCGAACTCCTAATCCTCCAACTCCGGCTCGAGCATTTAATGAGCTGAGATCGGCTCCTTCACTAAATGAGTATATAAATAATTTCAAACTCGATTTGTTTATCAATATCAGTGAATCGAACTATGATAAAAATTTAGAAAATTCTTACAAACTCCTATTCTCGAACATCAACGAGCCTCAACAAGCTGAGCTTGTTACATCTCATTAGCTAAACGAGCTTTTAAAAGTCGAGCTCACGTTTCACACAACAACTCTAAAATATGAAGCTAAATTTTACCCGGATTCATTTTTCCAACCTTAAAGGGTGCAACCACAAAAGAAAAATGAAATTACTATGGGAAGATTCAATTTTTTTAGGGCCTAGCATAGATTAGTACCATGACCATTGACCAATCCAAATTAAGTAACCCATAATTAAAAATAACTTTAGCAAACAAAAATTTCTACTACTCAGTTCCTAATTGTCTGAACGAACCAAACAAACATATATATAAACACATTAATTATAATAAAAAAAAATTCCAACAGAATTCGACCTGCCTCACTTCTTCGCCTCTTCAGCCGCCGCCGCTGCCTTGGGTGGCTCCGTGGCGACGCCGCCGTCGATGCAGCTCCGGCACCTCCTCTCGACCCATCCCTCCACGTCGTGGTCGCCGTGGGACCCCAGGTGCCGGCCGCCGCATAGCCGGGCAATTATTCCGGCCACGACCCCGAGTATGGTTATGACGGCCAGCACCACCACGAGGGTCTCGATAGAGTGGGGTGTGGAAGAGCGGCCACCGGACTCCGCCTCCATCACCACCACCGGCGGCGACCCCACTAGCGGCGGCAGCTGGTTGGTTTGAGCCATTTTGTGGTATTCGGGTCAATAAATTTGAGAACTTTCACTTTGTTTTTTTTTTCTTTTGGGTAGGAAAATTTGTTGAAATAGTTCAAGAAAATTTAATTTTATTTGGTGGGACTGTGTGTGTGTGTGTTTGAATAATGAGTGAGGGTGGGAATGGGAAATGAACTTTGGGAGAAAAAATGAGAATAGTGAACTTTTGGGGGAGAAGTAAGTACAGGCAAATATATACAACTTAGAGCAAGTGGAAAAAACAAAAGAAGACTATTTTAGTTAAATCCATATAAGGTTCTAATTAACCAATTAATTCAAGCACGGTACGTAATTAATCAAATCAATTCTAGTGTAAACGCAACGCTGTATGTTCTAACTTCATACAGCGTTGCGTTCACACTTGAATTGGTTAATTACGGTACCGTCCCTCGTTCACAGCGTCGCGTTCACACTAGGGACGGTACCGTAATTAACCAATTCTAGTGTGAACGCAAAAACATACAGCGTTGCGTTCACACTTGAATTGGTTAATTACGGTACCGTCCCTCGTTCACACTAGAATCAATTAATTACGGTACCGTCCCTAGTCCCTAGTGTGAACGCAACGCTGTATGTTCAGTACTTCGTCCTGCTTGAATTAACCTTCTCATTTCTAGTATTTTATAACCTTTGAGTAGAGTTGTAAACCAGTTAGAATTCGAGCTTATGATACCAGAGCTCGATTGAGTCCTTAACGAGTCAATAAATAAGCTCGAGCTCGCCTCATTAACGAGACTTAAGGAGTTGAGTTTGAGTCTTAACGGCTCGACTTATTATCTAAGTGAACCATAAATGAACTGAAGCTCGACTTGCCGAGCAAAATCTACAAACTGACTCATTTCATTTAACAACTTTAACTTTAATTTGAGTTAGAAAATGCTTTTAAGAAGGCAAGAACAAAAAGAAATGCCATAGCATCATATATATATATATATCAAATCTTTAATCTCTACTTTATTATTATTTACCTACTGTNGAGGAGCCTAGAGAAAGGTCCTCGAGTCCCATTAATTATTAGCAATCCTTTTTTATCAGTCATAAAGTTACCGGTTTTCTGTAAAGGGGTGTTCTTTAGATTAAAGTAAAGTGAAGGGTTCTTATCCCAATTTGTCCTCAATATCACATGTTTATATTTCAATTTGTGATGAGTCATGAATATGTGTGTGCGTTTGTATATGCCAATATATAGTAAATTTGCTGAGATATCGAAGTTTGAGAAGTACAGAAGTCTTGTCTTTTTCTAATTAAGCAGTTAGCTAATTTTTGTCATTGTATCTCACAGTATACTGTTTGCACTGTATAAGGGTAAAAAGATCTGAGTAATGGTGAGTGGTGACATCTCAGCTAAAAAAAAAATGTTTAAGTTTGTATAAAAAAAATTAAATGTAGACCCAACATAGAAAAAAATGTTATTCGATTCAAATGAAAGTAGAGTGGATAACTTAAGGAGATTCAATTTCTTTGCATTGAAATTGTTTTGATATTTTCTTTGCTTTATCAATATTATTCAAGACTTGTGTTCGTTTTTATGTCACGTAATCAAAATTGGACATAAATGCAACCGATTGCATCAAATTATCTCAATGTAATTATTATCGTTCCGTACTGCATAAATAATGTTATAGCACATACTTTCATAATTGCTGCAAGTTAGGCTATTTCTTAGATCTTCATACAGTTGAAGTGGAATTACAAGAGATGAAATACTTATATTGATATTGGTTAAATTTATTTTGATTGTCTTATCACTTTTCATCACTTTAGTTCATTGGATTCCAAGCATTATGCTTAATTGCCTAGTAACAACTGTGGTAGCTTGTATCTANAAAAAAAAAAAAAAAAGCCAACAAGGGAAAGAAGGGAGTTATAAATTGATCTGATCTGATAACAATTAAAGGTGACAATCAAAATATAAACACCACCACTTGAGACTGGTTTGTTATGAGTTGATTGATGTTAAATTAGAAGATTGAATTTAACACATCGTTAATAGTTTGTTTGATTACAGTTTATTTGATTAGTTTTTTATTTCAAAAAAAGGGTTAATTCTAAAAAATGTCAAAAGAGCAATATTTTGAAAATGAGAAGAGATGATTAGAAAAACAATATAACGTAACAACTATAAATATTTTCCCTTCACGAAACGCTTATTTGATAAATCACTAATTGAATTCGCTAGTCAAATCAGCTAATACAATCTCCTATATGATGGTATCAGGTAATTATCAATTAATACCATGATTACAAAGTCAAATAACACGGGAAGGCTCGAATCACGACATGAAAAGTTTGAAATAAAAATAGTTAAAGTTGAATTTATTATCATAATTAACGATCACATCATCACACAAAATAGTTAACATAAAAGTACTCGCGATGATGAAACATAAATACAGCACAAACGGTAGCATCATCAATCAAGCAAACATTAACTGAGCCCATCAAGTGGAATCCAAACAAAGGAAGACTTAACTGAGATCCAAAATGAATGGGCCTGCACAATCCAACAAGAGTAGAGCCCAACTAATCACGCCACGGGCCTTCCTTTTTTCTTTTTTTCCTCCTTGTCCCATTCATTCAGTAAAAACTTAAAAAGAGATAAACATGTTATGAAGAAAGATCCAAAAGAGTAAAGACAGGTCAACCATACAAACAGACAACAAACGACTTTGAACAAATTCCATTAAAGCTCCTCGTTGAAACCTTCGAAATTGCCAGAAAAACGCGGTCTTTAGGGGAATCGAGGTAATCAAAACCCTGATTTCCCCATCATCGGCCCAAATCCTGCTTGATTTAGCTCTCTGCAAATAAATAGCTTTTTACATTTTTCTCCGTTTAATTTCCGATCTGTGATTAAAAAAAAACTAAAATTATAAATTAAATGGGGACGCCGGCGTTTCCAAATCTCGGGAAGCACTGCAGCGTTGAAGATTGCCGCCAGATAGATTTCCTGCCCTTCACCTGCGATTGCTGCAAACAGGTGTGTTTTTNGTCTTATGTTTTTTTGGTTAAAGGTTGGATTTTTGTTGGTGATAATTGTTTGTTTATGGGATTTGGGAATGTTAAGGTGATAAAACTCGTTGCCCGATCTGTATGAAAGGGAACACGTTTATGGGGCACAAATTCTATTAGGAATTAGGATGGCTCAAGCTGATTAGATTTTGAGTTTTGTCCTATAAAGTTGCTACTTTTCTGGAGTTCATAGTTTCTTTAGCTTAGATTGGCACTTATTTCTAATATATTTTTTTAATTCATCTTGTATTGAATGTGATGTGTTCTTTTGAAGTAAAAGGATTTACATATTGATGAATGTAATGACTAATGTGGAGTTTTATATTCTGTCTCTTGTTCGGGACTATGTATTGTTTAGATTTTACAATCTTTTTTGATAATTTATCTTCGTGACGTTTGGTTTTGTGCACTAGCCATTTAGGCCTTCTTCGAACAGCTTTGAGAGCTTGTAATGGGAGATTGAGATTTACTAGTCTGTTGCTTATTTGTAGCTATATCGATTGCCTTGATTGTAGATTTGATGTTCCCGGCAATAAGAGTCCTCAAAAGTCAAGATTTTGTTGATCTGTTTGAGTAAACTCTTTATCTTTCGGCCAATAAAAGACTGAAATTGGGAGTTCTCTTAAGCCATGATTTTGGCCACTCTATTATGGCCAAGTCCTTGTAACTAAACAGTTCTGATTTATTGTATTCGATTTGTACACTATAGCACAATGGTCCATATCTTTTCCTTTGCTGTTCGGGTCAATTGCACTTGGCAGTTGGCTCTCAGATTTTAGCATTTTTTCTCCCTTTGTCTTCTTAAGCCGTGATTTTGGCTGGTCTATTATGGCCAAGTCCTTGTAACTAAAAGGTTTTGATTTATTGTATTCAATTTGTAAACTGTAGCACAATGGTCCATATCATAGAGTGCCCGTCTGAGCAACACAAGTCCCTTTTTTTGTTTTTTTTTTTCAACTGCCGATATATGCATCTTGCATATTTAATACAGAGATATCCATTCCAGATTTGTGTCTTATACTTAAGTTACTTTTCTTATTTAATTTTTCGTGCATGCTCTAATCGTTTTATTGCCGATTCCCACTCGACAGGTATATTGCCTTGACCACAGAAGCTACAGCCGGCACAATTGCCCCAAAGCCAACAAAAACGACATAACAGTCGTCATCTGCCCCTTGTGCGCCAAAGGAGTTCGACTTATTCCCGAAGAGGACCCCAACATCACATGGGAATCACACGTCAACACTGAATGCGACCCCTCAAACTACGAACAGTCAACCAAGAAAAGAAAATGCCCAATGCCCAGATGTCGAGAGATGCTAACCTTCTCCAACACAATCAAGTGCAGAGACTGCGGGCTCGACCACTGCCTCAAACACCGGTTTGGGCCCGACCACAACTGTCCCGGCCCGAAAAAACCCGAGTCCGCTTTCCAATTCATGAATTTTCTGAACAAGAGCAGCAGAAAGGACGAGCCCAACAAGGAAGCCGGATCAGCTACTTCCTCCTCGTCTTCTTCTTCCATCTGGGCTTCGGGCCTTTGGAAGGTAGCCTCGTCTGTTCGGGCCTCGGCTGAAGCCGGTATTGAAAAGCTGAGCAACGAGTTTAATCAGGCAGTGAGTACTAATGGTGGGGCCCAGGTGAGTTCATCGGGCAGCAGGCAGCAGGAGGTTTGCCCGCAGTGTAGAATGAGGTTTAAGAATGTCGGGGCTCTTGTGGAGCACGTGGAGAAAGTGCACGAGAGGAATGGGGTTATGAAGGTGACACTCGATGTTTGTCCAAAGTGTAGTAAAGGGTTTAAGGATCCTGTTGCGCTCGTGGAGCATGTAGAGAGAGAACATAGAGGCGTTTCGAGAGCTTAATCGAAAGTTCCCTT